ACGACTTACATGTAGTAAAGACTGTTATATATAGAATATATAGAATATTATATATAGAATGAAAAAATGTATGAAATAATATAAATGCACAAATATATAAACTTATAGTTATAAAAGATTTATTTGTATAGATAAAAGAATCACAACAGATATGTAAAAAAAATGTAAAGTGTTGCAAAGATGTGAAGTTTGTACAAACAAAATAAAATAAAAAATAAATGGAAAAAGCTCTGCTCTGTGGAGGGAGGAAATCCCCAGCTGGCAAGTCCTCCGTTGGCCAGGGCAACTTCTTCGCATTCCAGGCAACTTCCCCGCCTGAATGGCAGTTCTGGGCCGGTGGGCTTGCTGGAGCTAACATAGGGGATTTGGAGATATAACTATGGGATTGATTGAATTCTATTAAACAGGAGTTTTTTCTTAATATTGAGACGTTGGAATCATAGAGGTATACTGAGTAATTTTTATTAAATTGTTGCAAAATGGATTTACAGGGGATAATAGAGGTAAATGAAGAAATAATTTTGATGCTCAAAAGCATGCATGAAACTTTAAACATATAAAAAATCAAAAAGAGTTATTCCAAGAAAGAGAGATAAAAGGGTGATTAAAAAGTCAATAAATGATGGAACGCCAAAAAGGCTAAGAGATGATGGATAATGAGAAAATACATTAATAAAGTGGAAAAATAGAAAATATAAATAGGGAAAATAGTAGCGTATATATATATATATATATTAACAGATAATAGAATCTATTATAACTAAAAATAAGATAAGCTTAGGTGGAAGTTTAGGATTAGGTAATCTAATTGTATTATTAATATTAATAGTGTGTTAAAGTATATTGTGAATTTAAACTTTTAAAGATTAGAAATTGTGATGATTTTGAGATATATTCCCGGGACTGATTAAATTGTGTTAATAATTGGCTTTATTAGTAGTCCTAGGCATTTGGGATATTGAAATTATGGTGGAACTAATTTTTTCCAAAATATTAAAAATTAGTAATTTAGTAGGGGACAACAAATATAAGGCGCAAATAAATGTTATTTATGTTTAAATGAATTAATGGAAAAAATGATAAAGAATTTTAAAGAGAGAATGGTATCATAGGAGTTGGAAGACTAGGATTATTCATACTTATTTGTATTATAGCAATAGCAATAGCAGTAGACTTATATACCGCTTCATAGGCCTTTCAGGCCTCTCTAAGTG